GATCACATTTTCCACCAAATGTTTAGTAGGAGATGGAGATAATTTGCAGCCTTACTTTAACTTCTTAATTTCATTTCGCATTGACTTTGACGTAAAGTGATACAAACCTATCATGTATAAATTAATGAACACATTTTCTTGCCTTTGCATTGACTGATTCGTAAAACTACCGACTAATTTTATATAGTTGCTCAAAATTTGAACTCCTCCACATGAATCACGGGAATATCCTGTAGATTGTGACTATTTTTTTATGTGTTTGCAACAAATTACGCAAACAATATTCATGTGTCAAAACCCTAATCAAGATTCACATTTTTCCAAGTCACATTATTCGACAAGGAAAGGCCATTTTCATAAATCCCGCCAAAATATTCAAAGTACAAAATCAATCAACTACGGCATTACGGTGAAAAGAGAAGGGCGAATAGACATTTCACATGTTCTGCTAGGCGTTTTGTTCTGCTCGCTTTTTGGCTTTGTTCCTTGCACAAAATTATTCCAACCTTTTTCTGTCCGGTTTATGAAAAAATCTATTACTAAATAATATTATTAATAAATTTTTTTACTGTGTATGAAAGTACAAAAATAAAAAAAAAATAAAAAAAGGCACAAAACAAACGGCGACTGAGTAGCTGCGTATTCCGGTGCGGTACCGTACATGCTGCCAGCTGTGGTCCGCTAATTCCAGCTGTGCATCGATATAGCAATCGCACAAAAACGGGACAATTCCCATCACCACCCTAATAATTTTCAAATTAGTGTTAAACATAGTTCTCGACCGAATTACTGGTTCAATGATTTACTGGTCGGATCAGTGGTTGAACCGGTTGGATTAGTATTTAATATATTAATATTTTAAAATATATTTCATATTATATATATTAAATTCTATATATAAAACATGATTAATTAAATATTTTTACAATTAAAATATTTAAATACTTAAATATATTCATAATAATTTATAAATACTCATTATACTTAAAGACTATGAGACATTATAAAGTATTTTATATGAGATAATAAAAAGTAGATATAAGAAACACAATTAATATAATACAAATATATTATTGCCTCATAGTAATGACTAAATTCCTTTACAAATACAATTAATACTTAATTAGTACAATTCCCGTGTATTACACGGGTGTTGAATTAGAAAGCTTTTGTAAAAAATATTAAATTTTTTATTTTTTTTAAAAACTAAAATAATTTAATTTTATATAAAACATTACTTTGGGTTTTAATTAAATTGTCAAATTATATTTTTTTAATCATAATAATTAAACACCCCTACATTAAATGAAAATGTCAACTCGTGTCGAATTTTTTATTTTAAGGCATCAAGCTCCGCATTGTAACTACTTTGAAAGGAATATATTATTATGATAAATAGGTTTCTAATTTTAAGGCTCCGCATGGTAACTACTTTGGATATATTCCCTAATGTTTTATATTTTAACAATTAGAGAATACATTATTTGATAAAAAATATTAATTTATATCTAAGTCTAACTCTAAAGCATGATTTTTTGTCAGATAAAATTCCGAAGCATGATAATTTTTCTACTACAAAATACAAATATATAATCATTACCTCGACAGTAGCAATGTAAGGCCATTTGCAAGAGAGTATTTTGTTATTGAGAAAAAAATTTAGAGCAACCTGATCTTTGCCTTATTTGTAAAAATGCAACCTAATCTTTTTAATTTGATAAATAGCAACCTGAATTAAGCACTTTTGCCAAAAAGCAACCCAACCTGCCGGATTGCCGGAAAAATGAAATAAAGTGGCATTTTAAGGGTGTTTTGGTAATTTATATGAAAAATAAAAATAAATAAAACAGAAATATGGATTGTGAGTCCCGAATTATCTTCTTCCATATGCATTCTCTTTCGGAAATTTCCCTTTCGAAAATTTATCCCGGCAGTGCAGGATCTGGAGGATTTGGCGGAGGGTTCATTGCAGCGGACGATCGAGGGCGGGTTCTGGATCTGGTGGCGAGCGGATTACGATAGGTGCGACGGTTGTGTCGGGTCCGGGATAAATTTGGCGGAGGGTTCACTGCACGGTGATTGAACATTTTTTTTCTCAAATTCCTACCATATCTTATGACTTTCTATATATATATATATATATATATATATATATATAAAACAAACAAACAAACAAACAAACAAACAAAAAATTTGCCTGCTTTATATTCAATAATATTTTACCGGAGAGGGTGGATATCAGCAGCCGATGTTGACATGAGACCCATAATAAATTGTTCATAAAAGTTGATACTATATTTAACATATTGCATTAATATTGGCCAATTGATATTTTAGAAATTGTGCTTCAAGATTATTTTTATCACTATCTAAATAATGTCAAATGTCAAATAACTTGAGTATTGGTGAAAGGATAAGGATGCCCTTATAAATTTAATGATATGACCAAAATACCCCTTAATAATCTGGTTTGTAGTGTGTCGGACTAATTTTCCGGTGAATTTTATAGTCTCCGGCAGGTTTGGGTTGCACTTTCACAAAAGTGCTTAGTTCAGGTTGCTATTTATCAAAATAAAATGATTAGGTTGCATTTTTACAAAGGAGGCAAAGATCAGGTTGGTCTAAATTTTTTTCCCTTTGTTATTTATATATTATTGTTCTTTCTTATATATTGTGCTTAATTACTAGAAACAAAAAAGGAAGATTTGCAGATCTGCCCGCCCTCATTCCTCTTCTCCGGTTCTTCGTCTTCCAACCGTCTTGTAGACTGTCGCAACAAAAAAAGAGCAAATATTTTCCACCCTATTTCAAAAAGCAAAATTCAAATAGAGAATTCATCTTCTAGACCTAGTTGGAGTTGGCCGCATCTTAGCTATTTTTTTGGATTCGTGAGGAGCCAATCCAAATCTATTGAATTCATAAAATCGTACCTCTTCTATTTTTTCATTATTCTTTTTTTGTTATTCTGGAATTGAGATTTTATTGCTCAGCCCAGTGTTCGTTAATTATTTTCGCTATCCGCAAGTGTACGGAGTAGCTATAGGTAGTGGCGAGCAAGGTCGTATTCCACAGAGATTGTATTTAAATTAATTAAGTACTAAAATAGTGACGATTAAATATCCCCTATATATAATTCATGAATGCGCTGAGCCTACGTGGCTGCTTCTGGTGCTTCGGAATCCTACTTGGCGAAGAATCGTGCTTCGTAATTTGGTTTGGACAAATAATATTGATATTATAAATTAATAATTTTAGGTTCGGAGATTCCATAAATATTGTTAAACTAACTTAGGTAATTTCATAGCACTTATACTAATATAACCCTTTAATTATTTATAATATTACATAGTGTGGTACTAAGTGACTAATATATCCCTTGACTCTTGATTTGCTTCTTCAATCAGCTTTTGATCATTTTCCATTTGAATTCTACANAAAAAAACGCACAGAAATAAAGAAAACACGAAAGGAAGAAAAATATCTCTGTACTTTCGCTCCCTTCTTCTCCCTTTGGTCGATCATCCCCGATCGTCTGAAACCATGGCCCAAATTTAATTCCCAATTTTAATTCCTTCAAGCACTGTATGATTTCCCCAATTTTATTAATTCAATTGCTACAGTCAATCATTTGCCCTTTTTTTTCACCAATTTCAATCTTCAAGGAGTGACTGAAGAAATGGCTAATCTGTCCGCCGGAACAACCCAATAAATCGATATAGTGCCTCCCGTCGGCAAGTCTGTAACATATTGGGCGGATTAAAAAAAACTCAGACCAACTGTTACTATCCCTTCAACATATTGGGCGGATTAAAAGAAAAGGATTTTAAAACTCCGATTGTTGCTGCCTCATATTGCTTGAGGATCTGCTGCCGCACGATCTCCTTGGCCGAGGGTGGTGTTGCAATGCTCACAGGTACTAATTTGACTGCCCTTTATTTTTATCGTATTAATTTAGCCGTAATCTAAATTTTTAGCACGGTGTTTATTAGATGGCAGACTTATTGATAGTAATTTATCAGTCCTGAAAGTTGTCGAGACCTGATGGTGAAGTCAGCCTTATGTTGACTGTGTTGAAATAATAATTTTTTTTAAATCGTCAATTTCCTTAAATATTAATGAAATTATGAAATCATTTACTGAAAAAAGTATTGTATTTCATTTTAGTAATATATGAAATGAACCACGGTGAATATTTTGTATCTCAATATTTTTGGTATAACATAGTCACTATTGAAGGTAGGTATGCAATCTTTATCAATAAGCATCATGTTTAACATTTTATCCGTGTATGCAATATTTCTATATAGAATGTGTTATCTTGAAAATATTTTATCTAATTATATTATAGTTTCCATAAATTATTTTTCGAATAATTTTATGTTCCACTGGCAATACTTCATAGTGAAATATATATATATTGGCGATTCAACACACTGAAAACATTACTTCTACCCGTGAAAGAAAAGACATGGCTTCTACTTTCAACTCCATTGCTCAAATCAACGCAGAAAAAGAAACTTGGAAAATATGTGTTAGGTGTGAGCGAGTATGGTTTAAGTTTATGAGAAGTCAACCCGATGTTCGCACTGCAATGGAAATATGTGTTCTAGACGAGGAGGTATTCATTTTTTTTTATTTTTTTGTTAATTAACGTTATTTCACTATAAGAATGTTGTGTTTGTATTAAAACTTAATGAAGGTGTTATTTCTTTAGGGTGATAAAATTCAAGCCATAATTCCAAAATGGCGTATTTCGAAGCTGGAGAATATTATTAAGGAAGGATCATTTTATGTACTAGAAAATTTTGAAATACTTCCGAATAATGATGAGTACGCGCCAACAAAACACCCTTATGTTTTGAAGTTTCACGAGTGCACTTCTGTTAGGCCGTCGGGGATTGTCAATATTCCCCGTTACATTTTTAACTTCGTCAACTTCAGCGACCTTGCGAGTAATGCTGATTACTCTTGGCGCGTGTTTGGTATGTTTCTCAAAATTTATTATTTTTTTATCGGAACTATACATACATAATTTATATAAGTTTATTTGTATACTTATTCGTTTATAAATTTATTATTGTTTTAAATACGTAGATGTTATTGCCGAAGTGTATGGTATGGATGAGCTGGTTAAATACGACCGGGATGGTCGCCAAATGATGAGGATTAAGGCACATTTACGTAACTTGAGGTAACATTTTATTCTTCATTCATATATTTGATGATATTAGATTTATTAATTCTTGTGGATTTTTACTATGAGTGACTGACTACATTTTTCCCGAATTTTCTTAATTATTCAGCCTTTATTATGTATCTCAACTGGTTGCATTTTGATTGATTTAAACTCTATGATTATATCTCTATACTCTATTGCACTATTGACATGTATGTATCTTTCAAATGCAAAGGCTGATTATTTGTTATCACTTTGAGTATATTTATAAACTTATTGCATGGTTGTTTATTTGGCCAAAAATATTAGTTGCAGTTTTGGATTCATGTTTGTGCCTTGAACATCCAAATAACTAATGTTTTATTATCTTACTGTAAGCCTTGAACATCCAATTATATGCAATTAAATAGTTGAAAATATAGATTTGAATGTTCTGGGATTTTTTATGTTTTCACTGTTTTTAGTTGATGTTCTGGGACTTTTTTGTCTTCATAAACTGTTCATTTTATTCCTAATAGTTAAAATGATCAACTCATATTTAGTACATAAGTCAAGTCTCATCGCTCTTTAAATTTCTGCAAATAAAGTATGCCATTTTTATGACCCGATGATTTTGGTTATATTTGTTTTTTAGCGGAGAATCTATTGATTGTACTTTGTGGAACGGATTTGCAATCCAAATGGCTGAATATTGGAATAACAAAAATTGGAATGTCAAAAAAGGCGATCCAGTGGTCATCATCCTTCAGCATGCTATGGTCAAGAGATGGGGAGGTTATATTCAATTCAACATTTTTTCTTTCTTTCTTTATAAAATCCGTTAATATGATCAATATAATTAAAATATTTTTTTATTTGCAAGAAAGTTGATTATCAATGATGATCTGGAGGACATTAACTGGTGTGCCATTTATGATTATCAATGATGATCTGGAGGACATTAACTGGTGTGCCATTTATCAAGTTGGAAAATTCATTTGTTTAAATTATTAATTTATAATATGCCTAATTAATACTTTAAGTGTACATTTATTAGCTGGTGTGCCATTTACAGTTTTTCTTTTTATTGTATACAAATGAAACACAAGTACATCGAACACAAACTCCGTTATCAGATATTACGAACAATCTTGAAGGTGTATTTTCGTTTTGTATTACCATTTCAATTTACCTCAACTTTGATATGTTAATTGATAATATAAAATTTGCTTCATTAAGCTTACTCTAAAGCAACATACTTCAAATTTTTTTAGGAAAAAATTTTCAATTTTTATTAGTCAATTGCATTGGTATATTTATAATTAGAAAATCCCATAACATTTCATATTCACCAGGTCAAAATAGAACCGTAACTAACATCACAGATGGCAAGCGTCTAACGCATGATAAGAAGTTACTCGCTTCCATTGCTCGAACTTTATATGTTGGAGATAAAGACGATGCTGGATCATCAACGGTGTCTGCACTCGGTAATTTTTTTTAATGCTAACATAAATTTCCATGTCAACTAATTATTAGTACTTAGCATACATGAACTTGATTCATATTTATTTTATGTGATATTTAAATATGTAAACATTTTTAATGAAATTATGAAAAAAATGTTCATTTTTTGCATGCATCTACATTTTTCATTTAAAATAGTCCACAATCGCTATTTTTGTTTTTAAATGTATTTATCTGTAAGTATGTCCGTACTCGGTAACTCTTATTTTGCAAACTCGGAAATCAATATTTTTAATATATTTTTTTAATTTTTGTAAGGTTATATGGACCATGGAGACCCAACATTTAAATGTCACTTTTGTGGTGCAAAATTGTGGTATGACGAACGTGCCACAAAAAGTGATAAATCAAACAATCCATTATTTTCTATGTGTTGCGCAAAGGGGAAGGTGTAACTTCCACTGCTCCGGCCAGCACCTCAAACGTTGAAAAACCTTCTCTTATCTCAAGATCAACGAAGTCATAAGTTCTTGGATAATATTCGTGCATATAATAGCATCTTCAGCTTCACTTCAATCGGAGGACATGTCGATAAATCTATCAACAAAGGCAATGAACCTTATGTTTTCAAATTGAAGGGGGCCAACTACCATAAAATTGGAAGTTTGTTACCTGTATCTGGAGCTGCTCCAAAATTTTCTCAACTGTACATTTTCGATACGGAGAATGAAATCGACAACAGAATGAATGCTATGAGGTACATAATTATGTTTATTTCATACACCTAATATATTATACAATATTAAAATTTCCATATTAATATTAGTTCATTTCAATTTTCAAAATCACCAGCTCTCGATCCAGCAATACTCAAAGTAATCTTGATGCTGGAGTTATCAACGATATAATGAGGATGCTTGATGAAAATAATCCATTGGTGAAGTCGTACAGAATGGTCAGAGAGCGTTTTCAATCTGGTGTTGTTGATGAGAACGTAAAATTAAGGCTCATTGGAGGAAGAGAATCAGATGGCCGAATGTACAATCTTCCTACCACACATGAGGTAGCCGCTCTTATTGTTGGTGATATTGATGATACTTTTGGTAAAAGAGATATCATTCTTGAAACGCGTTCTGGTGGTTTGAAAAGAATAAGCGAGCTGCATCCATCATATCTTCCTCTACAATATCCATTATTGTTCCGGCATGGTGAAGATGGCTTCAGAGTTGGGATTAAACATAGTGATGCATCGTTGATAAGGACAAAAACAAGGGATAAATTAACGCTCCGAGAATTTTTTGCATTTCGCATTCAAGAAAGAGATTGTGAATGGAGCACTGTTCTACGTGGGCGGCGTTTATTTATTCTCAATTCTTGGTGGATGGTTATACCATGGTTGAGTCTCAAAGACTTTTTTTTATTCGCCGCAATCAGCCTACTCTAAGATCAGAAAAGTTTAAAAACCTTCATGTTGCTGTATCGCATGGTCAAACAGATCCATCTACCATTGGCTAAAGAATATTTATGCCAAAATCTTTCACAGAAGGAAATAGATACATGAGTCAGAATTATCAAGATGCTATGGCACTTTGCAAGTGGTACGGCTATCCCGACTTATTAATTACAATGACTTGCAATCCCAATTGGCCTGAAATAATGAGATATCTCAATGATCGGGGTTTGAGGCCTGAAGATAGACCAGACATTGTTTGCCGAGTCTTCAAGGTCAAACTAGATCAATTAATTACGGACATTAAAGACAATGAAATGTTTGGAAAAACGCGTGTAGGTATTTATATCATTATTATTTTCTTTCATTTAATTTTTTAATAATTTATTGTTTATATGCCTAAACTAAACCTTTTATACTTACATTTTTCGTAAAAGTACGAATAATAAATATTTTCCTTCTAAATTGACACACTTGCCTTTACTTCCAGATTTGTCAATAAAAAACGAATAATTGATAGCATCTAAAAATTATTTGTAGACTTCCAAAAATCGACTTTGAGTTCAATACATTGTTGAAGTAACCAGGACAAATATTGGTGAGGGATTTTGGCCTTTTATTTCATGTCTCTCCAATCTTCATTATTAATCCTACCAATAATATCAAAGCCATTACGAATTCCAGAAAAAATAAATAAATAAAATTATACACAAACTCTTTTTTTCCCTCGCTCTCAACACTCTTAACCTTCACAGTGATTAAAACCTCAATTTAGCTCTCTGCCTCCAAATCTTCAGCATTTTATTTTTCAATGTTTTGATTTATCAGAACACATGCCGCAAGTTCGATCAATCCATCGAATAAAATTCTCTCGCCTATATATTGAAGTCGTATATACGGTGGAGTTTTATTTTTTAGAATTTTATTATTCTTGAGCATTTTATTTTTCAATGTTTTGATGTATCCACTTTTTTGTGTATATATATATATATATATTGCAGTTGTATATATGGTGGAGTTTCAAAAACGTGGTTTACCACATGGTCACATTCTGGTATTCCTTCAACGCGATTGTAAGATACCAACGCCAGAAGATGTTGATAACATTATTTCTGCTGAAATTCCTGATAAAATTTTGCATCCGAAGTTGTATGAATTGGTATGCAATCACATGATCCATGGTCCTTGCATATCTAACGGAATCGATCGTGTTTGCATTAAAAATGGAAAATGTACGAAGCGTTTCCCCAAGAAGTTTGCTAATCGGACTACTGTGGATGATGATGGTTTTCCAATGTATAAAAGAAGAAACAATGGATTATCGGTTACTAAAAATGGAATTGAGTTGGATAATGGATATGTCGTACCGCACAGTCCTGCTTTACTGAGAAGATATGAAGCTCACATCAATGTCGAATGGTGCAACCAATTTAGATCGATGAAATATCTTTTCAAGTATATAAATAAAGGCAATGATCGTGTGACTGCATCTATCGATCAATCTGGTACTGTTGGTACTTCGATTGAGGTTGATGAAATTAAAAATTTCTACAACTGTCGTTACATATCTCCGTGTGAGGCTGTGTGGCATATCTTCCAATTTGACATTCACTACAAAAACCCTTTTGTTCAAAGACTCAGTTTTCATTTACCTGGTGAGCATAATGTGCCATTTGATGAATCAATTCCGATTGATGAAGTTTTGGAAGATGAAAAAAGTGAGTAATCAATGTTCTTAGCTTGGTTTGAATGCAACCAAAAATACCCAAAAGCAAGAACGTTAACTTATGTTGAGTTGCCTACGAAGTTTACTTGGAAAAGAGAAGAGCATTTCTGGTCCCCTCGCATAAAAAAAGTATGCATAGAAAGATTGGATTACGTACCACCTGGTGCAGGAAAAATGCATTATTTGTCTCTCATGCTTCACCATGCCCGAGGTCCATTATGCTATGAAGACATAAGAACCATTAACAAAATCATTTCTCTCACTTTTAAGGATGCGTGCTATTCGTTGGGCCTATTGGATGATGATAAGGAATATGTTGATGGTATTGTGGAGGCCAGTTTTTGGGCTTCTCCATTTTACCTTAGGAAACTCTTTGCACCATTATTAATTTCTGATAGTTTATCAAGACCTGAGTATGTATGGGAAAAAACTTGGAAAGTTATGGCCGATGACATTCTTTACAGACAGCGCACGTTACTTGGAATTCAAGGTGATGCATTCTTTACTTTCATTATACATCGATTTTCAATTGGTAATCTTCCTTTTTAATTAAATAATACTTATATATATATTATTATATACACACACATATATATATAAATTAATATATATATATATATAAATTTATATACACACATATATATACATATAAATTAATATATATATATATATATTTATTATAAATGCGATTTTATGGATATCCAAGTTTTTGTTATGTAAGAATTAGTCTCATATCTATATTCACATTAAGTGTTTCATTTATTGATTTTATGCAGACTTGCGACTTAGTGAGGATCAGTTGCACAATTTTGCGTTGGTGGAAGTAGAGAAGTTAGTCCAATCCAATGGAAAATCTCTACGAAATTATATCGGTATGCCTTAGGCTGATGATTCGTTGTTCAATGAAGAAAATAATAAACTTATCCAATAGGAGCTTTTATATGATAGATCACAGCAAGAAGTGGAGCACATTCAACTTTGTTCTCCATTGACTAATGAACAAAGGGGAGCTTACACGAAAATTCTAGATGCTGTCACAAATAATGTTGGCGGGGTTTTCTTTGTCTACGGATATGGTGGAACAGGAAAGACCTTCATTTGGAGAACGTTATCTGCTGCACTGCGAAGCAAAGGTGAAATTGTTGTTAATGTTGCTTCAAGCGGAGTTGCTTCGCTATTACTTCCTGGAGGTCGTACCGCTCATTCTCGCTTTGGAATCCCTATCAACATCAGTGAGAAATCTATGTGCTCATTTATCCCAGATTCTGAGCTAGCATCTCTTTTGCAAAAGACAAAATTAATCATATGGGATGAAACACCGATGATGAACAAATTTTGCTTTGAAGCATTAGATCGAAGCTTAAAACATACGTGTTTGGATCCTTCGAAAAAAAGTTTACCTTTTGGAGGAAAAGTAATTGTTTTTGGTGGAGATTTTAGACAAATTCTTCCTGTTGTACCGCAAGGGAGTCGAGAAGATATTGTGTATGCCTCCATAAATTCGTCTAAACTCTGGGAGCATTGCAAAGTACTTAGACTGACCAAAAACATGAGACTAAATGTTGGACAGTCAGAATCTCACGCAACTGCTGAGGAAATTAAAGAGTTCTCTGATTGGATCATAAAAATTGGAGATCGTCAAATTGGTGTTGAAGTTGATGGAGAAATGTTAGTCGATATTCCTCAGGACATACTAATGCACTGTGCAGATGATCATCTTACAGCTATTGTTGAAAGTACATATCCTTCATTGCTGAGCAATTTTTATGATCCATCATTCTTCGAAGGGAGGGCTATACTTGCACCGACGAATAATATTGTTGAATCTGTTAATGATTTTATTATG